CACACACACACACACACACACACACACACACACACACACACACACACACACCAACAACACCAACACCATCACCCCCACACCACCACCCTGAGTGTTACCTCTATTTTCACATACTCTCAAATACATTTCAGTGGTTTGTCTTTGTGCCCAATTTGACATAATTTACAGGAAGGAAGACTGTTGTGCTAAAGTTCCCGCAATAATTCCCGTTCCCAACAACCTTGGGGCTTTTGCATAGCCAAATAATATTCTCTTCTCACGCTTCGAGCAAGTTCGGCTATGCAGTGAGCTGTTTGAACTAAATAATTTCTGAAAACATTCTGTAAAATATTCAAGTTTTCGTTGATTCAATCTCGCCTCTGCATCGGCGTGTTCATGGTTTGTTGAACTTTTTAAAACCTTTTTGTTGACTTTGGTTGTAGTCTGAATCTTGGATTATTTCTCTGGACAAGAATTTCTCAGCAAAAATAAAAAGACAAACTTTTTATAGATGCTTCATTCATAAAGAAATGACCCATTAATATTATGTCTAATGCTGTAATAGCTAAAAAAGAAGGCATACTCAAAGAACACTCTTGATCAAATCTTTCGATTTCATTCTCTGTCTTTCTCCCTCACTCTCTCACTGTCTTTCTCTCTATCCCTATATATCTATGTCTCTCTCCCTCCCTCCCCCCCTCTCTCTCTCTCTCTCTCTCTCTCTCTCTCTCTCTCTCTCTCTCTCTCTCTCTCTCTCTCTCTCTCTCTCTCTCTCCTCATCTCAGAGTAGTCCCAATTTCCCACCCCCTTCCATCCACCACAATAGCTTTAGAGTATAAAATTTAAGGCGTTTTCATTGTGTACCACATTTGCCCAACAGCTTTCAGATATTCAAAACTTTGTTTGCGGTGACATTCCCTCTATTTGAACCGATTTCTATTAATCTCAGATTTTAAAAAAAAGTTTTTCGTTTTCCATTTAATTGTATTATGTGATCCAGTGGCCCAAAATCTCACCCCACTCACTTCCTTTCAGTCTCTTCTCTTAAAGCTGTTTTTTTTTTTAAACGCCCAAAGTATTTCAAAATGGTAGCATACTTTTGGGTGTACCCTTTTCCTCATCCATATCCAATTGTTCACATCCAAGACACCAAAATGCATCTGTTCCTTTGTCTTTCTAAACTATTCAACACTCCAGTCATCGAAACAACTTATATGCGTCTAGTAAGAAATTATGTTGATTCACTTGTTTAAATCTACGGTCATTTGGAATGCTGTAATGACATTATCTTGTGAAATAATTCTGCAATGTTCATTTCTAGACAGATAATATCTATCTATCTATCTATCTATCTACCTATCTATCTGTCTCTCTATCTATCTCTCTATCTCTCTATCTCTCTATCTATCTATCTATCT